TGTAACTTTTTCGTCCATTTTTCCCGTCTTTTTGCTGTAGAAATGTTGTCCAGAATGATGGCGATTTGGCAACTTTGCCCCCTCATTTCTCAAAAACCGTGCGTATACTCAAGCTAAAATTTTTACCAGAGTTTTAGGGTATCATAAGGTATCGTTTGGGCCCGGTTTCAGAAAAATCCCTTCTGGCCCAAATTGTGCCAAAAAACGGTCGTTTTTGGCGTCACTCTTTAAGATTTTTTTTCTTTCAGTGATTATTTACTGGGACGTAACCCCTTAATGATTCAAAATCTACGAAACTTCATCTCTCTTTTGTAAAGAGGTTAAGATTTTAGTAATCTATTTTAAATCCTGCAAAACGTTCATGGTTTAAAATTAATGAGTTTCTCACTCATGGTCACTCTTATTTTTCAACCACTGTTAGTCGTTGTTGAAAATTGAATGTCTCTTTTTGCAGCGTTGATGATTTCTTGACACATTGCCTGTATTACTTACGATAAGCTAAGGAACATTATTTCTTGACATTTTTGCTGGTTGTCCTGCATCATGTGCAGAATATTTGGTAAAATTATGAATAATTCACTGATTTTCATTGTGAGGAAAAAATTTAAATGAAAATGAAACATCATCAGCTCTTCTTGAAACATTCCAAATGAGGAAAGTGTTTTGAGACTTTCGCCATAAAGCCATCTCGAGACAATCAGATTCAGAAAATAGGGAGAAATAAAAAATTTGTGGCCTTCAGGAACAAAATGCGACTATTATTAGTCAATAAATGACTGGAAGAATTTAAAACACACATGAAAAAATATTTCACTCACTAATATTAGTCATGAGAAAAAATGGTGTATGAAAAAAGAAATGTTGATAAATAGACATAAGGTAGTAGAAAAAAGAAAATTTATTTAAGTTCTTGAAAACAAAACAAAAAATCAGAAATTCCCTGTTGACTTGCTAACGTAATGATATTTCAAGGGGATACAAGTACAAAATATGGGTTGAACTTGCTAAAGAAAGGCTCAGGTGAAATTTGCCATATTTGCACTGTTAGTCTAAGAACGAGCTTGTTTACATGAGCGCATGAAATTCATTCAAGTTTCCAAAAAAAGGAACAAAAATCAGTGTTACACAAGCAACTCACTAACGTTTTTAAACACTAATAAATGAATATTATAATTAGCAAGTAAACAAAATGACCATTAAATTAAAAAAAAATATATATTGTTTAAAAAAGGCAGTAAGAGAGAAGTAAAACAATTTTGAGCAGTGTCAATTCCGTCTAAAAGTAATCATTGAGGAACGAAAATAGTTGGCATTTTCTTTCAAGACATGTGTTCTAGGCTGCCTGATTCAAGCATCTGAAAACATGAGAAAAGAAATAATCATCAACTGTCAAGTAAGTGGAATAGCAGAACAAGTTACGGTTATTAAAGTAATAGTCATTCGATCAGACAGGGTTGCCACAAAATTTAGAAAATGAAATTCCCCGACATTTCCCTGATACATTTTGGTGAAATTCCCTGACAAATGAAGATATGGCGAATGGCTAAGAAGACATAATTTGACAAAAATTTGTAGTTTGAAACATCAAACCCAATATAGAAAGCAAATGAAGAAGATTCAACAAATTTTCCCTGACATTTCCCAGTTTTCCTTGACTTTATAAAATTCCCTGACTGTGGCAACCCTGCCCCTTATGAGGTGTTGCCAAGTTATGTAAACCATAATTCTAAGTTTCAAAATTCATCTTTTCTGGCGTTTATCATTTCATAATTGAGTCATGTTGCGCGAAAGTCTGTAATGTATATTTTTCCAGCTTTTAGTTTTCTTGTGCTCATAATAATTTTCAAGATTTGACATCACCATCAAAGTGTAAAACAAGTAATAATGCCACATTCATCATTAAATTCAACTCTCGAATGTACGAGGGGCGTTCGTAAAGTAAGTATATATCTTTATTTTCTCCGGAACTAATGAAGATAAATTAAAACGGTAAAATGTGTTTTAACCGTCATACTCTCAGCTTTTCAAAAAGCCTTCGTTTTTTAAATTTGGTCCACCCGTTCGCGAGTGACGTCATTTTTCCCGCGCCCATCTCTCGTCACCGCGTGTCCAAAATGTTCGAACGCGGCGGAGTTCCTCAGACGAGTGAGTACGCATGTTTTCACCGTAAAAAGGGTTGTAACACAATTAATTGGATAAATATGTGAAAATTTCATGCTTTAAATTGTCTTACCTTGCTTTTCGACATGATCTCCACCCAGTTGAACACATTTCTGATTATGTGTTAGCAGTTTGTGGATTCCATCTTCAAAAAATTGCGCATATCCTGTCGTTGGAATCATTTTTTTACAGCTTCTTGCAACTCTGCGTCGGTGGAGAACTTTCGGCTACCCAAGCTCTTCTTTAACGCAGGAAAAAGATGAAAATCGCATGGAGCAAGGTCCGGTGACTACGATGGATGAGGAAAAAGGTCCCATTTGAATGAGGCGAACAAGTCTCTAGTCACATGAGCCACATGAGGCCTAGCGTTGTCTTGAAGGAACAGAACTTGACGAGACAAAAGATCGGGCCGTTTTCGCTTGATCGCTGAATTAAGATTTTTCAAAACTTCACAATATCTTGCGGCATCGATCGTTTTTCCTCTTCCTAAGAAATCGATCAGCAATATTCCTTGAGCCACCCAAAATCCCGGAGCCAAAACATGTACTCGTCTGAGGAGCTCCGCCGCGCTCGAATATTTTGGACACGCGGTGACGAGAGATGGGCGCGGGAAAAATGTCGTCACTCGCGAACGGGTGGACCAAATTTAAAAAACGAAGGCTTTTTGAAAAGCTGAGAGTATGACGTTTAAAACACTTTTTACCGTTTTAATTTATCTTTATTAGTTCCGGAGAAAATAAAGAAATATACTTACTTTACGAACGCCCCTCGTATTATCAACTCAAAAAAACTCAAGACAGGAAGAATGGACATGAGCGGCCTCTGCATGAAACGATTGAAATTTGTGTAACTCATGATAAGCCAAAGATTAAAAACATCACTGGTCAAGAGGACCACATACCTTGAGATCCAAAAAAGTATTTTTATTTTACCAATGGCTGCCTCACCAAAAGTTTTTTTTTCTCTTCCTATAAAGAACAAACGTGTCTCTTATGCCATTCACTGTCATCTGCCTATTTCTAGTTGGATGAAGTTTTCTGCATCCACAAGTCCACTGGACAATGAACTGACATACCGGTACGCTCTTTGAAAAAACTCAATAATCTTCCATTAGTTTTATTCCTCCTTCAGCTTTGGCTTCAAAACATCATCTTAGAGGAATGCAAATAGTCTAGGACTTCATTGACGTTTTGAAAACTTGACTTAATTATATCAGGCCAAGGCTTATAACCTTTAGTAATTCGATAATTTGCCATTTTCCCTTCGAAAGCTTCTCTTATCTCAATTTCAAGGATATGAAGGGGGAAAAAACATACATGAAATCTCTCTTCAAAATTTTCTGGAGGATAATACCATCATCATTAAATTTACACAAGTTTCGTACCTAATCCTCATTTGCAACCGTTTTGTCACCACAAGCTCCACATTTCCAATTGACAAGTTCTCACTTCCGAAAATTTGTATCTGTAGCATCCGTTTCATCTCACCGCATTATTTCGAAACATATCTTAGTTGACGAATACGAAAAGTGTCCTCAGTATCAGAAAATTTAAAACAACAAAAATAATAAACAGCTTGGTCATTGCACTATTGAAAAACTTTTTAAGCAGATTTTCTCGGGGAACTTTTTAAATCTTGTCCTCATAGACCATACTTGAAAAGATGGGTAAAAACAAAATTTGTAAAAAAGCTGATTATCTTTGGCTAACCTGAAGGAGGAGTAAAATCTTAAGGAAAAACCCTTCACTTCCAAGAATGATTTACTACGTATACAATTTTTAATTGTACTGGCAAAAAATTGAAAACTCACCTAGTTATCAGGCTTGTCGCAAGAGCTGCATCCCGTATAATTTACTGCATCTGAGAATGAAAAAAAAAACGTCCAAGTTAACTAATCAGGGAATTTCGTACAGGTCAGTACATAAGAGTGATTTCGAAATCACAAATTTGAAAAACAGTAAACTTCAGTCAATGATTATATTTCCCTGTAGACACAACTACATATATCTATCATCATGCTTTTCTAGTCAATGTTTCCGGCTTGTGATAACATAACGAGCACCTAATGAGTAGAGTTTGTTTAATTTTGAACCTCAGCATTGAGTATTCGAAAGTAAAAGATTGTATACCGAAAATTTTATTTCGGAGAAAATCCCTAATTGAAGATTGAACACCATGTACTTCCTC